TCAGAGTTTTTCCTGTCTGGACACAGGAGATACATGGTGTCAGTGTCACTTCTGGGACTTCTCTTGTTATCCTCCAGAGTGAGCACTGAAGTGGAGAACTTGTCCATGGAAGTTTTAACAAAATATGGCCATGTATTAGACCACAAGGAAGTGATCAATCGGTTAAAATGGCAGGGCGTGATTGAGCTAGCCTCAAGGGTTATTAGTGAGCTGCACTCCTCCTGGGCTCAGGTTAACAGAATCATGTCCAGCCTAGAACAGGCTGCTTTGGAAGCAGGTAGAACACACAAGCAGGGACAGGTACTAGGAAGCTGCAGTTGAGAGTGTCTGGGGGAATATCAAGGGCCTCTGTTGACAGATGTCCTGACAGCCTGGGATTCCTGGGGAGGGTGGTGGGTGGTCAGTGCTTCCACCTGTCCATGTGCAGCGAGCACTGACTTATCCTTCCCATGTGCACAGGGCTGCGTTCTGGGATCCGCCTGGTAAGAGGAGGAAAAGAAAACCCAAGTTTACATTTCTGTTTTTCACAGTTTATTGTGATTGTAAAAATTCAGAATTGTGCAGTGGGAAGAAGGGAACATTACATAATCTCACCACCCAAAGATACTATTAATGTACACACACACATTTACATATATGTGTAAACACATATTAACATATAGTTTTTCATGTCAGACTTGTGAGCTGACATGGTACACTGCAGTATAAATAAAATAACTTATAATCGAACCTGATGTGTATATGTGTTTATATACATAATGTATATGTATGTATATAATTTATATATATGTAAATATATAATTTATAAAATATGTATGTAGTTATATAGAGAGATTTAAATACATCGTTGCTGTTTTTAACCAACACAATCTCATACAATAGTTCTTCTTTCACCTGTTTTTTTTTTAACCAAATCATGGAGAACTTTTCATGTAAATATATACAAATATTTGTCATCATTTTTACAAGCTTTATTTTTTGATCTTGTATCTTTTTTTTTAATTCTAAGTGCTCTCAAATCCTTTTTATTTTTAGTAGGAAAATATTTTTAAAAATCAACGAAGAATAAAAAAATGCTTATAGGTTATAAGAATCATTTGAAATCTTTTTCAATTCTTTCTTTAATGGTTATAAATAGATCTTCTTTAGCCCCCCTATAATGATTAATAGACATATTTTGTTTTCTCCTCCCCCCCCCACCCCCCGCCTGATTCTTTGTTGTTCTTTAATAGTGTTTATTTTGTCTATAGTTTCTTTGGAACAAATTAGGAAATAGTAAGAAAACTTAATTGATCCTAAAGTATATGAGTTTATTGATCTTAAAGTTTTAGTGGATTTTCCCCCTTCTCTATTTCTGGGACCCTACCTCAAAGCTAAAACAGAGTAAAGAAGAATATCGTTAGCAGCCTCACAGACGTTTGACCTAACTGGTAGCTATATGAAAGCTGTAAAAACAGCCATTGTAAAGTCAATTTCTTTACACTCTAGTTATAAATTTGGATCCATTGCTGATACCCCATTTGATAGCATAGAAATATCAGGAGTGATCACAAACAGTAAAGTACAGGTATATACACATTCGTAGAGATTTATCAAGTATTTAAAATGAAGTACTTACTATGCAATGCACAGAGCCCCTGGGTTGCACAAACGGTTAAGCGTTCAACTACTAGCTAAAAGGTTGGCGGTTCAGACCCACCCAGAGGCACCTGGTGATCTGCTTCCAAAAGGTCCCAGGCTTGAAAGCCTTACAGAGCAGTTCTACATGAGGCCACCATGAATAGTAATCGACTCCATGGCAACTGACAACAGCAACATGAAAGGTAAACCATAAATGCCGTCTTGAGGAGTTTTTTTTTCATGAACCGTTCTTATTCTTATTAATCCCTCTGGAATGTATGCTCCTTGAGAACAGGGATAAATGCCTGGATATAGTGCTTTCTCAGTACATATTTGTTGGATATGCAAGTGTTTACAGTACCCTCAAGCTGCATGGGAGCTCTCGTGGCGCAGTGGTTAAGCGTTCGTTCAGCTGCTAACCAAAAAGACTGGCAGTTTGAGTCCACCAGCCGCTCCTTAGAAATCCGAAACCCTATGGGTCAGTTTTACTCTGTCCTGTTGGGTCACTATGAGTTGGAATCGACTCGACGGCAAAGGGTTTGGTTTTCGGTTTTTTTATGCTGCATAAAAATCACTGCCCTCTGCTGTGAACGCTTTTATTGCTGATTGATGCTCACAAATGATTCAAAATCCTGTATCCAAGGCCATTTCTTTCTTTTCCATGATCCCCTACCCTTCCACTTCAGAAGGCATCATTGCTGAACTCTGGAATGCCGTTTTGACATTCCATCATGCACACGTTGGAAGTACACAGGGAAGAAAACGTTCTAAGTTGTGGGTGCCATTGAAAATGGCCATCATGGAAAAATTCTTTTTCATTGTCAAATTGTACCGTTCCAGTTCAGACTCATAAGGTAGCAAAAGAAGTCGGGCATATTCCCAAGGTCAGACAGCTAGTCACTCAGCACCAGCCTTCTAACCACACCCCTGCTCTGCACGCTGGGTGCACTTCCTCTCTGCGGTTCCTGCAGAGGCTATGCACTGCGGAAGATACATTCAATGCACTGTCTTCCACATGCTTACGTTTTCCTTGGGCAAGGAGGTGCGCCTAACTGAAAATTCCAAATATAGGAAACAGGAAGCAGGGTTCCTTATCTTATTCAAATTTCACTGTATAAATTAATTTCCTCAGTTAGCTAGAATACCATACTCCGTATATATAATAGGCTTGACATTCACTTAACAATAATTGTCTGTCTGCTAGGTTGGAGCAGGAGATAGAGGATACATTTCTAAATCAGTACAAAGGTGAAAATTCAGAAATTAGCTGTAGGTACATTTTTTTTTTTTCTTTCAAATACTTTAAATTGCCCATAAAGCACAAAATCATTGGTTTTCTAAATCTATACCATTGGGTATCTTGTGCACACTCAAGTTTGAGGAACACTAAGCAAGACAAAGGGACAAAAACGAGTGTCTGGACATTCAGACGATTCTGCCGTTTAGCTAACTTTCAAATCTATAGTGATGGTTGGTGAAGGATAGAAAATTCCAAAGTATCATAGCTTGATTAACTCCATGCAATACTAATATTAAACCTGTTAATGTTAAATGGCTACACAACTGCTTTTCATTTTATGCCTTTTAATCCAGTTTGAGTTTTTCAGTTGTGCTCATTAAATTTCTTTGCTAAAACCCTAAAAAAAAAGGTATAAGCCTCTGTAACTTTAGAATCTTCTGATAAATTTCTTGTAATTATCCAACTGAACAGTCCCATGTTTGGAGAGGGATAGGAAGAGATTAAGAGTTAGGATCAGAAGAGTCAGTGAAATATTTCCATGATGTGACTTCAATGTAGAAGATAAAATAAGTGTTTTTCCTGTAATGTGTTTACATTCTTGGCAAGTCAGACACAATACTCAAACCATTATGGAAAAATTATGAGAAAGTGCATAAGCAAGGGCCCATTAATACAGTAATACAAAGAACAGGTACTATTTATTGAACACCACCATCTGAGAGCACCAGCCTTGGCATTTTTTAAAAGGTCCCCAGTGAAGTAGCGTACAGTCTGGTGTCCAGAGCCAGTGTGCCGAGAGTCAGTTTAGGCTCTTCAGCGTCTGAGAGGAGGACAGATGGGATACTTTTGGAAGACTGTGTGTGTGTGTGTGTGTGTGTGTGTCTGTGTGTCTGTGTGTGTGTGCATGTGGCCGTGATGGCCAGTGCAGACGCTGCTTTCAGGACCAGCTGGGAGGGGCTGGTCGGAACGTGATCTGGGACTAGACTGGGTGGAATCCATGGGGATGGGTGCTCAGCAGTCTGTCTGGGAAAGATTAGTGAGAGGAAGCACATGGACTGGATGGCTTAGTTGATGTGGATTTTAAAGGAGAAGCACAGCCGTGGCTGTACTTGTGGGCCAGCATTGGGGGCCATGGTTCTGGCAGTGATGAGATGAATTTGGCCGCGTTTTGTGTTATGGAGGAACACGGGACGTATCGTTTTGTGTGTTAAATGTGCACTGATGGTGGCAGTTGGACAGTGTGTGGTTGCTAACGAAGACTCACAGGACCCAAAATGCAGTGCTTGCAAATATACAGTTTATTGCAGGAAGAGAACATAATACAGCAACAGCATGAAAGTAAAGGCTACCTCACAGTGAAGGGTCTGGAGAGGTCCCATCCGTGTTAGGACATACAAATGTACTTCCTGTCTCAGATCAGAAACCCATGACCCGTGCACGGAACACCTCAGAACCAGGAACCCCAAAATGGAGCCTCGGCCAGGGCTGTTTATACCCTGTGGGTCACACAGGCATATTCCTGCTCCGTAACCAGCCCCAACGACAGAGCCTTCCAGGTGTCTCAACAAGACCAGGTGCAAATGATTGGTCTCCCTTTAACAATACACAGTGCTGACAAGCTGGCACAAAGAGCCCCCAAATTTTTCAGACCAGTGATCCAAAGCAGCACCCCTAATCAGTATGTGCCGTGCCCTGAGCAGGTACACTTCTGACCCCAGTCAAACGCTCAGGCCACCCGAGACCTGCTGGCGTTAACGAGTGTTAATGGTCATGCGGAATATTCACGTGGGTTGGGCCCTTCAGAACACCGCGCGGGCTATAAACCCCATCCTAGGTGCACGTGTTTGTTCATAGAGAAAATCATGGTGGTACCTCTGAAAAGGTCATCTTGAAAATGTCTCGCGAGTTGTGGTGGTGCTTCATTTCCCCTCCAAAGTTAGTATAGACTTTTAACTCTAAATTGATTGCATTTAACCTTTACTTACTAGCAAAACTGATTGTTAAGACCAAATTCTGAGGTATAGTAGGAGGAAGCATTGCAAGAGTCTTCTGGTTTATTGAGATAAATGACATGTTCTGTATTTCAGAGGCTGCTCATAGTTTCTAATTGTCTTTTTCCCCTTTCCTTCTCCACCCCCAGATGAATCGGCTCCTAGGGAAGTCAGCCGGGTAAGTAATGTGAATGCAATTTCTACTACGACAGTCTGTATATAGAGTAAGAAATCTTTTGAACATTTTCACAGCACTCTAACATGTTGACGTGTTAGAAAAATAATGGCAAAAACCGAGTGCCCTCTCCAAAGAAGCCCTCTTTAATGTGGACTGAAGTCACTAGGGAGAGAAGTTGTGGCTTGGAGGCCTCAGGGTTGAATTCAGCCAGCAGACACATTCTGTGTGGCCTGCACAATGTCTGTGAGGGTTTCTGACTTCATTGTCAACATTTAGAAATCGAGAGACTGACTACAAAGATGGGCTTCCTGGCTTCTCTGCAAAAACCAGAAGATGTGGCACCATGGAGACAGCACTCCCACTTGGCAGTGGTCTGCTCTGGCCGTGTGGCCCAGCCACCTTGAGGAAGACATGGGTGCCCCAGTTCCTCACAGCCCTCCAGTCAGCCTGCTTAAGTAGTTAGTTTACCTGCCCCACCCCTGCCTTTCAGTTCCTGTATCTTCTTGCAGGACAACTCAAAGCGACTGCTCCTGCGTCGGACGCATTACTTTCCGCCAAACTTCTAGAAACGTTACATGAACTGTTTTCATGTCTAAGACATACTTACGTGCTGACTTTAAGAGACTTAGCTGAGTGAAATAAGTCAGTTACAAAAAGACAAGTACTGTAAGGGATCAATCACTATTATAAAAACTCAAGAAATCTTTACACACAGAAAGAAACAATCTTTGGTGGTTACAAGGGAGGGGAAGGGTGAGGAGGGAAAAACATTGACTAGATAGTAGATAAATGGTAACTTTGGTGAAGGGTAAGACAGTACACAGTACTGGGGAAGCCAGCACGACTCGACCAGGGCAAGATCGTAGAAACTTCACAGACACCTCCAAACTCCATGAGGGACCGAGTTACTGGGCTGAGGGCTGGCGACCATGGTCTAGGGGGACATCTAGCTCAATTGGAATAACATAGTTTATAAAGAAAATGTTCTACATCCAACTGTGGTGAGTAGCATCTGGAGTGTTAAAAGTCTGCCAGCGGCCATCCCAGCTGGAGCAAAGGAGAATGAAGAAAACCAAAGACGCAAGGGAAAGATTAGCCAAAAGGAATAATGGACCACAACTACCACAGCCTCCACCAGACTGAGCCCAGAGCAATTAGATTGTGCCTGACTTGCCTGACTACCACCACTGACTGCTCTGACAGGGATCACAATAGAGGGTCCTGGACAGAGCAGGAGAAAAATGAAGAACAAAATTCTGACTCACAAAAAAAGAAAAAACAGACTTGCTGGTCTGACATGAACTGGAGAAACCCCAAGAGTATGGCCCCTGGATACCCTTTTAACCCAATACCGAAGTCACTCCCGAGGTTCACCCTTCAGCCAAAGATTAGACAGGTCTACAGGGCCAACAATAACACATATGAGGAATGTGTTTTGTAGTTTAATCATGTATCTGAGATAAAATGGGTACACCAGTCCAAAAGCAAAGACAAAAAAACACGAAGGGACAGGAAAACTGGACAAATGGAAACGGGGAACCTCAGGTGGAGAAGGGGAGAGTGTTGACACATCGAGGGGTTGGCAACCAGTGTCACAAAACAATTTGCGTATTAATTGTTTAATGAGAACTAACTTGCTCTGTAAACTTTCACTTACCGTGCAATTAAAAAAAAAGACATAGCAAACTTAAAAGCTTATGGGGTCAAATTGACAACAGCACCTTGAAAGATTAGACGGGAACATTAGGGGGCAGTAAGTTTACGTTAATGGGGAAGGAAAAACTCAGGAAAGGAGGGTGAGAAAGATGTACAACCTGAAGAATGTCATCAGTGTCCCTGAATTGTATATGTAGGAATTGTTGAATTGGTGTGTTTTTCTGTGTATATTCTCAACAACAACAAAATATATAAAATTAAAAGAAAAAGCTTGCTGTGTTTAATAAAATTATAATTAATGACGTAGAAAAAAATAACTATGTGCCTTGTACACAGATATTCTTAAATATGGAAATAATATCGCAAATAATCAGTTCAAATCGCATCTGATGCAATGTGATGTAAGAGGTCACTCATCCTAAAATATAAACAAGAGAGCTGTGAATAGAATTTTGTTTACAGGTATGTGCCTTTGTCTTTGATCATCTGAAGGAAGAAAGGCACCTCTACAAGGACCAGGGCCATTACTGAGGATTGAGACCGGAGCTGAGGCTCCTCCGTCCTGACCCTCAGGCTTGGCTCGGTGCCTTCACTGTTACAGAGTTCATAGTTAACAGAATTCCCAAGATGTATCAGGGAGTAGATTCAGGGAGTTGGGAAATCAGTTAGTTCATTTTAGACATGTTAAATTTGAGTTATCAGAAATGAAAGGGAGATACTTAGAAAGTAGCTATATATGTGGTTCTGGAATGAAGAGGTAAATTCATAGGTTGTTGTTGTTAGGTGACATAGAGTCAGTTTCAACTCATAGTGACCCCGTGTGCAACAGAAGGAAACACTGCCTGGTCCTGCGCCATCCTCACAGTCACTGTTTGAGCCCGTTGTTACAGCCACTGTGTCGATCCCTCTCATAGAGATTCTTCCTCTTTTTCACTGACACTCTACCAAGCATAATTTCCTTCTCCAGGGACTGTTACTACCTGATAACATGTCCAAAGTTTGTGAGACAATGTCTTGTCATCCTCACTTCTCAGGAGCATTCTGGCTGTACTTCTTCCAAGACAGATTTGTTCATTCTTCTGGCAGTCCATGGTATATTAAGTATTCTTCACCAACACCATAATTCAAAGGCATCAATTCTTGTTCCATCTTCCTTATTCATTGTCCAGCTTTCACATCCATATGAGGCATTTGAAAACACCGTGGCTTGGGTCAGGCGTACCTTAGTCCTCAAAGTGGTATCTTTGCTTTTTAACATTTTAAAGATATCTTTTGCAGATTTGCCCAGTGCAGTACATCATTTGATTTCATGCCTGCTGCTTCCATGGGCATTGATTGTGGATCCAAGTAAAATGAAATCTTTGATAACTTCAGTCTTTCCTGTTTATCATGATGTTGCTTATTGGTTCAGTTGTGGGAAGTTTTTGTTTCTTTATTTTGAGATGTAATCCATACTGAACACTGTAGTTTTTGATCTTCATCAGGAAGAGCTTCAAGTCCTCTTTGCTTTCAGCAAGGAAGGTTGTGTCATCTGCATATCCCAGGTCATTAATAGTCTTGCTCAAATCCTAATGTCACATTCTTCTTCTTATAGTCCAGCTTCTTGGATTATTTGCTCAGCATGCAGATTGAATAAGTATGGTGAAAGGATATAACCCTGATGCACACCTTTCCTGATTTTAAACCATGCAGTATCCCCTTGTTCTGTTCAAGCAACTGCCTCTTGGTCTGGGTGCAGTACTGCATGAGCACAGTTAAGTGTTCTGGAATTCCCGTTTTTCCCAATGTTATCCATAATTTGTTATGATCCACACAGTCGAATACCTTTGCATGGTCATTAAAACACAGGTAAGTATCTTTTGGGTATTCTCTGCTTTCAGCCAAGATCCATCAGACATTAGCAGTGATATCCCTTTTCCATGTCCTCTTCTGAATCTGGCTTGAATTTCTGGCAGTTCCCCTTTGATGTACTGCTGCAGCTGCTTTGGAATTATCTTCAGCAAAATTTTACTTGAGTGTGATATTAATGATATTGTTGAATAATATCTGCATTCTGTTGGATCACCTTTTTTTGGAACGGGCACAGATATGAATCACTTCCAGTTGGTTGGCCAGATATCTGCTTTCCACATTTCTTCTCATAGATGAGTGTGTGCTTCCAAGGTTGCATCCGTTTGTTGAAACATCTCAGATGGTATTCCATCAATTCCTGGAGGCTTGTTTTTTGCCAGTGCCTTCAGTGCAGCTTAGACTTCCTCCTTCAGTGTCATTGGTTCTTGATCGTGTGCTAACTCCTGAAATAGTCGAATGTTGACCAATTCTTTTTGGTAGAGTGACTCTGTATATTCCTTCCATCTTCTTTTGATGCTTCTTGTGTCATTCAATTTTTTGCCTATAGAATGCTTCAATATTGCAACTTGAGGTTTGATTTTTTTTTTTTCAGTTCTTTCTGCTTTAGAAATGCCAAGAATGTTACTCCTTTTTGGATTTCTAACTCCATGTCTTTGTACATTTGATTGTAATACCTTACTTTGTCTCTCAAGCCGCCCTTTGAAATCTCTGTTCATTTCTTTCACGTGATCATTTCTTCCATTTGCTTTAGCTGCTCTACATTCAAGAGAAAGTTTCAGAGTTTCTTCTGGCATCCATTTTGGTCTTTCTTGTCTTTTTAATGACCTTTTGCTTTATTGATGTATGATGTCCTTGATGTCATTCTACAACTTGTGTCGTCTTTGGTCATTAGTGTTCAGTGTGTCAAATCTGTTCTGGAGATGGTCTCTAAATTCAGGTGGTGTATTCTGAAGATATATTCACTTTTGCTTGTGTGAACTTGTTTTAATTTTCTTCAGCTTCAACTTGAACTTGCACGTGAATAATTGATAGCCTGTTCTGCATTTGGTGTCTGTTCTGAGTAAAGATACTGAGCTTCTCCATCATTTCTTTCCACTGATGTAGTTGATTTGACTCCTGTGTACCCCATCTGGCAGGAACCATGTGTATAGTCACTGTTTATATTGTTGAAAAAAGGTATTTCCAATGAATATGTCGTTGGTCTTGCAAAATTCTATCGTAGGATCTCCAGTGTGGTTTCTATCACCAAGGCTGTATTTTCCGACCACCAATCCTTCTTCTTTGTTTCCAGCTTTCACATTCCAATCACTAGTAATTATCAATGCATCTTGATTGCATGTTTAATCAATTTCAGATGTCAGAAGTTAGTAAAAGTCTTCAATTTCTTCATCTTTGACCTTAATGGTTGGTGTGTAAATTTGAATAATAGTCGTATTAACTGATCTTCCTTGTAGGTGTATAGATATTATCCTATCACTGACAGTGTTGTACTT